TCGATTTGGTCTATGCTCCAGTCATTCAGTCAGTCAGTCAGTCAGTAGCAACGTAGAACTTCGTACGTATGTACATAAGTTCAGGTTGCCACTTCGACACATTAGCACAGAGACGCAAAATGTCAAATAAAAATCCCATAGTGATAGAGATAGTAGAGGTATTATTAATGGTAATGAAGAAGACTAGGATTTGAAGATATTATTCAAGAAGTATAATTCAGTGAGATAAGGTTAGAAAGACAAAGGTAGAGGTGCTGACAAATCCAGAAGATTAGGATTTAACAGAGCACAACGAATGGATGCGCACTTGCGCTATTGCAAACGATTTTTTAGCCATGTCGTTCAAAATCCATTAAGCGTCATTGCGCTTATTAAATTGCATGTGTTGGGGGAGGAGGTGTGTAACAGCGTCTATAAAGCCTTGAACTGGAAGTTTATACTCGTTGGCATTTATCAATAGAAGATTTCTTCAGTTATGTGGACAACAAAACTCCTCTTCAGATTCCAGAATGTTCCATCTAGTCTCATAGTGTAATGACTTGATTACTTGATCGATGAATGATTTCCTGTAGCACTGTAATATTCACACAGACTGATCTCTCTAACAGTCTTAAATTTTGTTCAAATCATACTTTTTGGAAAATAGTTAACATGAAATCTAAGTATAGGACTGTTCCAACTTTAAAACTTTAATATTATCAAGGAACTAATGACGTCATTATAACTGGGACAACAGAATTTCATTGATTTTGATGATTAACAAAACCTCCTCCTCTCTCTATCTCTCTCAGTGTAGAAATCATAATAAATTTTTCAATTCTTACAATTTCTCTGCACGATTAAACAAAAATTATATTGATTTAATCAAAATGGTCACTCAAATGACTGTAACTGTTTTTGTCAAAATAAAATATAATGATTGATTGATGATTTTAAAAGATCTAACTGAAAATATCGTAACATATGCTCACTAGTGACTAACTTCGTGAGGAAGTTCTCGGAGTTCTAGTTGAGAAGACGTGCGTGACCAATGGGGTTCAACCCTGTCGGGTGTAGGCAGTAACTACCAAGGACAAATAGGTCAGGTCTCGCAAAATCCGTAGATCAATCAGAGTTAGACATTAACACCGTTGGATGCCGGCCCAGTGGTCCGATGGTTAGGCGTTTGCGCACAATACCGAAGGCCCCAGGGTTCGAATCCTGCGAGGTGCAGGAGTTGTGGATGCGCACTGCCGCTGATAAGTCTCATACCGGGATGAAACGACCGTCTTTCAGTGCTTCCAGGTTTCTAATGGTGTGGTCTAACAATGATCATTGATTGATGATTTCAAATGAGTGAAGAAAAACGTTTTATTGTTTTTGTTGATTAATTTATGAAAGTTATCAAAATTTTATTTCAATTTCAAAACTACTCATAAAAATAAAGTTCTCTTTTATTATTATTATCATTATTGACATTTTAACAAGTTCAAATAAATTAAATGATCATTGATAATTGAATTGTACAAATGACCGGTTGATATGAATTTATTTATTGTGAAAATTGAAATATTTTTACTTATTAATTTCATATCTGATGTAGATAATCTTACAGGCTACATTGAACTAATGATTTCACACTTTCTAACATGCTAAACATTTTCAGTATAATAAAACTGAGCAGAATTTAAGTAGGACTAATAGAATAAGGAGTAAATATCCACAAGATTTATGGAGAATTGAAATGAGTGGATGGCACTATACCTCCTTAGGATCATCTCTATTCAGTCAACCACTTAAATAGATAGTTGTATCAATAAGCGAATCGATTAGATTAGTATAATTGTCATTGACATCATAGTTTTCGTTTACTCACACTCTCGCAAGACTGTAGTTTAAGTAATACAGAATAAATGTCCTATACTGTTATGTAGCACATTTTCAACTATTAATCTCTCACAAACTTTTATTCACACAACTAGGACGAAACCTTGGTTCAACGTCCTCTTATTAGCCAGCTAACTTTAAGGAGACATGATTCCGAAACATACAATTATTACGCATAGAAAGATTCAAAAAGGTAGATCAATTTCGAATACAATCAAAACAACTAGATTCATGAGTCAAAGCATTATAGTCACACATTAGGATTTCAATGTCCGTTTCCTTTGTAATAAACTAACTTTTATGACAATTAAATTCAAATTTTTTTCAAACTGTTTCAAAATGTGTAAGTCTGATGTTGAAGTATAATTTTAAGAATACAATCATGTTGAATTTACTTGACGAGGGACATTTCTAGACGTCAGTATATCCAAAACTAAGTTATTCGTCATGAATATTTACTATCATTTGCCTATCGGAAAAGATTCACATTTTAAGCACCATATATAAAACATACTACTGTCAACAAAAATAAGTAATATAACTTCATCATCTTTAATTATGATAAATATTTTTTTGCTAAACTATTCATGAAAACTCATATTAAACTGAAATCTGTTAACTACGTTCAATTGAATAAGCTAACTGTTTTGCATACAACCTTATAACAATGATTGATTGATGATTTCAAATGTGTAAAACGCAAACCTCCAAAACTGTGCCCCAAAAAATATCGTAACAGTGCTCACTAGTGACTAACTTCTTGAGGAAATTCTCGCAGTTCTAGTTGAGAAGACGTGCGTGACTAATGGAGTTCAATCCTGTCCGGAGTAGGCAGTAACTACCAAAGACAAATGAGTGAGGTCGCGCAAAATCCCTAGATCAATCAGAGTTAGACATTGACACCAATGGATTTCGGCCCACTGGTCCGATGGTAAGGCGTTCGCCTACAATGCCAAAGGTGCCGGGTTCGAATCCTGCGAGGTGCAGGAGTCGTGGATGCGCGCCGCCACTGTTGAGTCTCATACCAGGAAGAAACGACCGTCCAGTGCTTCCATGTTTCTAATGGTGTGGTCTAACAATGATTGACTGATGATTTCAAATGTGTAAAAAACTTATAATAACAGGACCGATAAAAATCTCTCGAAATCCATTACTAATCAACATTGTACATTGAACAAGAGTTTTCACTCGAGTATAAAATAAAAAAACCACAAGATGTTTATCATAAAAAGGGGCGTGACTTATAATGTGTACATTTTCTTTTTTATTTACTCATTAACATTGTGTTTTTCTCAAACATAATTATGCCTACTATATTCCCTTTTATTCCCCCCTCCCTTGCGTGTTTTTGTGCGTGTGTGTGTGCGTTATTTGTTAATTCATTATGCTGATGTTATATAACAATCATGTTAACTTGTAATGTATCATACTGACAACTTTTTCTTGTCTTCTCATTATTATTATTATTATTATTGGCTTACATATCAGCATTAATAATATATTGACTTTTCGCTATAGGATACGTGAATAATTTGAGTATATTTTTATTTTTTGGCGAACAGAAATATTGTGTATTTGCA